TCATGTTGCCCATGCGCACACACACACACACATTTACGCAACCAAAACAACCGAAAGCCCTAAACCTCCAAAGAATACAAGAACAGACCTTAAGCCGCTGCTGCGTCACATGCGCGTGTAGAAATCGCAGGCGCTACAACTTTATTCTTAAACCTTATTCCTATTATAGATATTTTACTAGAGAAGACCATTTCCATTTTCAAGGGTTAGGGATTTCGGGTTGGGCATATAGGTTTTTCTATGGGGGTGCGGGTGTATGGGGTTGAGGCTGTGGTTTTCTATGTGGTTGCCTATGGGTCTTCTAATGGTTCTATTCTTGTGGGTCTTGGGGTTGGGATTTTTGGTGAGTTTAGGGTTGAGGTATAGGTTGTTATGGTTTGGGCGCTAGGGGGTGGTGCATGATTAGAAAATGGAAATTAAATGGTCATTACTCACTCATTTTACAGATGCTTGCTTGCGATTCCTGTATTCGTTCCTGGTTCCTAACAGGTTTCCATCTCCCCGAGAATGTCACAACTGAGCCATCATCCCTTCGATGCTATGATCCAAGGTTTTCGAGTCCTAAACCCTCAACCCTAAGCAGTTTTGGCAATCAACCTCTGAAACCCCACGCTAGATAACGGTTGCTAACTATAACAGTCACTATCAGGGTTACAGGACTATAAGGATGCTGTTGGTATACCATAAGGATACTTTACCGATGCTAGAAAAATTCTATGCGGATACTCTAGCGGTTGCTAAAAGGGGTGAGGGTGAGTCTTGGCGTGGTTGTCTTGGCTAATCACTCTGAAGATTCAAAGAAAGACCGAGCCGACTCTTCAGTTCACATGAACTCGGAACCCAAGCCGTAAAACCCCAAACCCTGAAACCCCTCATCAGTATCCTTATTATAACGCTTAAATTAAAGTAAGAGTAAGCTTTGTAGTGACCTTAGAGCAAGGTACTCTGCAAAATCTGTAAGAGCCTCCCAAACCACAAATGAACCGAAGACCCCGTCGAAAACGAACTCTCCTCACCGAGTTTTTCTCCGATAACTATGAAACCCTTAAACGACTCTGGCAAAACCCTCACAAAATCCTCACAAGATCCTTGCAACATCCTTGTAGGACCCTTATGAATCTCAGCGTCCTTCTCCTGTGACAGATCCTGGAGTAGCTCTCGCAGAGTGTGCCCGCTTGGCGGAGCCTTGAGGAAGTAAAGCAGCCTCCGGAAAATGAAAGTGTCTTACACGAACTGCATAGGCATTCTAAGCTTGTCAAGGGTTTTAAGCCTCAGAGTTTCTGGGGCTTGCGGGGCTTATTGCTTGCAGGGTCTTTCTTGGGTTCCGGGTTTAGGGTCTCAGGCCCGAGAAAAGTCCCTCTCGGGACTCTGAGGTTAGGATTTGATTGCTTTCGTCATTGTTGAAGCTTCCCTGAACCCTACATGTTATACAAGTATACGACCTCTATACTCTATAACCTACCCCAAAACCTTATTCGGACTAACCCTAAACGCCTGAAAGCACCCCCACACCTTTTCTGCGACAGGACTCAAGTCTGGTCCCTTCACCTTGAACCATAAACCCACGGTGGAGTCTGTTTTGGGGGAGCGCATGCTTTGCGGAGTTCGAGGCGGTTGTGACTTCCGGGTTTAAGGTTCGGATTTTAGAGCATGATCTGGGTTGCAGCAGCATGACCCTGATGCCCAGAAAAGCAAGAGGGGGAATCCGGGCAGAGCTCATGCTAAATCCAAAGTCCAACCTGTTGAAGTTCGGGCCTGGGAACCTGGGACGTGCTGTAGCCTTGCAACCTCGCGGTGTCAAGGTTTGGGTTCAGGGTTCAAGGCCTAGGGTCAGAACCTGAACCTGCTAGGACAAAACCCAATAAGTGCTAAATCCTGATCAACGAAGGCTCGCACATGCGTCTTCTATCAGCAATGAGACTAAATTCTGCTATTGTTGTCTAGCGGCTCTAGCGATGGTTGCAGGAAGTCTTCTACGACCTTCCACAGTCAAGGCCAACCTTTAACCCGTAGTCCTAAAGCCGAAACCCTACATACAGAACAGGCCCCCACTTGAGCCAAAGGTTCTGCTGAAGATCCGGCGAGTGGTTGCTCGGATCGCGGCAGACCTCCCGAAGAAAGGCCCGATGGATGTCATAGCACGGGATTCTCGCATTTATGGCAGGGAATTGCAGGTTGCAGGGCTCTACGGTTGTATGCCGTTCTATCGGGTTTTGTCGAGCCTTCTGGTCTACCTTTCATACTGGCGTGCACCAGGCGAGTTCCAACAAACAGCTGGCAACCGGCCTAACCCTCGCCCTGCCCCACAAGTCGACGATATATGAGCCGACCAGCCGCTTGTGGA